CCGTGTGTGTATATATGTGTGTGTGTGTGTGTTTGTGTGAGGGGGTGTAATAGGAGATAGGAGGATACAAGGGTCTTTCTGCAGTAATCCTGGTCTGTATCTCCCCAAAAGGGAGGAGACATAGAGTTGAAGGGGGGGGCAGAGAGAGGAGGAGAAAGAGAAAGCAGATCAAGGGAAGGTTCTTCAAGAACTCGACCCCTGACCTTGGTGTGTGTGCGTGCACATGCATGACCGGGAGGTGGGACAACCCCCGCCCCATCCCAAACCCAGCTCCGTTCCTCCCCCTCACTGCCACCCCCACTCGGGGCGTTACCATGACAACGGGGTTAGAGGCTAGCCCACGAGCTGAAAAAGAAAAAAGATGCATTCTTACATGAGCTTGGATCTTAAGTGCTGCAGTCAGTTTAGTCTGCATTCCTCTCTTTTGTTGCTGCTTTTTTTTTTTTTGTCGGAATGTGTTTTGCATCCATGCTGTTAAATGCAAGAGACTTAATTTTTCTCCCTGCAGCTTTTTATACGTGTCAGCAATTATCTTCCATTTCATTCCCCATTCATGGCTTTCGCTCTTGCAGTTGTTTGTTTTTTAGTTGCATCCCTTTAAATTGCTCGAGGTACTTGGCTTTGTGCTCCTTCCGTAGGAATTAGCAAACAAACTAGTTCAACCACACACAACAACATGCTGATGTGCCAGAGTTAACACTCCACCCCACTGCGTTGTGCATTGTAAATACCTGTGGCTGTATATTTTCGACTTAACATCCAACTCAACCTGCACTTCCACATGCAGTGATGAGGTGGTTTCAGTTAGAAAGTGGTTCTCAACATTCAGTTGAATTGACTATCTGTATTTTAAAACTGCAAAACACTTGCACAGAAAGGAAATACAGCAAGTATGCCAACTGGACAGAGTAATAAACATGTAAAAAAATAATAAATTCAGTGTGGAAGACACAACAGAACAAAACCAAGATCCGCAGTAACACACACGCAACACAACAACACAATGTGCTAAAAAAAAAGGGGTGTGTGTGCATAATATATGTATAAATATGTGCATACATTTAGAATTTCTCCCCATTATCATCCCTTTCATTTATTTTCCTTTCAGGTGGTCAATTTTTTCTCCAACTGATGTTGAGGGATAGCCGTGTCAGTTTTCACTCGGGGAGGGTGTGGTGATGTCATCAGACGAAAGCGCCTAATTGGCTCACTGCGAGGAAAAGTGCATGTTGGTGTAAATTAGGCGATCGTTCACGCTGCGTTGTTATCTATAACTCCTGTTCACACATGCACACACACCCCCTAACTCCTATAGCCTATTCCCAGACTCAACCCCATCCATTCAAACAATACAGTATACCCACCATTATAATGAATATAGTCTAAGCCTGTCTTTGTATTAACAGTGCTCTAATCTTTGGTAACCCTGTGTTACTTTCTCTCCAACTCGGACCAAAAATAGAGCCCCATCCATTAATAGTGCCACCCATGAAGAACACACACACATATGCACACATGCCTACATGGATGAATGCACATCCCGCATGTGCACACACTCACACACACCAATCACTTTTCCTCTCTTCGCCCCCCTGGGGAAGCAAAGTCCTGCATCAGCTGCTAAATTGCCTAAACTCTCTCATCTGCTAATGGGCTACCTGTCTTCCTGCGTGTCTGCCTCTCTGACGACATTAATGAGTTTCTGCTGTCTGTCTGTCTGCCTCTGTGTCTTCCTGAATGTCTGATGTCTTGTCTTTATGTATGCCAGTTGTGTATGTCTGTCTCTCACTGTTGCTGCTCCCTGTCTGCTCCTGTCTGCTCCTGTCTACTCCTGTCTGCCTGCCTGGGTGGTTTATAAATCTGTTGGCCTCCATTGGTGTGTTTTGATCTTGACACTCTTTGCTACTCTGTATGGCTGTTGTGTTGATGAATCCTCTCTGCCTAAACTCTCGATATAAGTATCTTTCAAAGGAAATATGATCACATGCTTAGATGCTGCTACACAACAAAGGATAAATAAACAAGCAAACTTACATTTCTATTTGTATGTCAGGTTTTTCGATGCCAATACTTTTTACTGATGCATATGGAAAATAGTAGCAGTTCAAAAATTACCAGTTGCAGCAATAGCAGAAGTTGTTGTTTAGTTAATAGTTGTACTCAAATCAATATCAAAAGTAGTTAGAGTAACAATACTAGCTATAGCAGCAGTGCTCTATTAATACTACCTATTACTATTAGTATTAATATAATAATACTAACTAACTAAGCTAACAGTATCAGAACTAGCAAAAGAAGTAGGCTGTTAACTTTAATGATAGTGTGAGTAGAATTACTGATAGTATTACTAGTAGTAGTTATTGTAATTGTGGCACTACTGCTAAGAGTAATCAAAGTAATTTAAGTATCAAGTAGAAATTGGTCTATATAGTATCAGAATAGGCATTATTATTAGTAGTAGTACGTAGTAAATAAAGTTACTGCCACCGTAGTCAATGAATACTCACCTTTGCACAGACAAACAAACACAATACGTTGCTATGGCAATGTAGGACTTAAGTGGGGCTATAATAATGGCATTCACCTGGTGATTGTAATTATATATATACTGATTGTAATTGTAGATGCCTTTCATTGTACCTATTCCCCTTTTGTCACCAGTCAACACATTTCTCCTGAATAGAACTTCCTATTCTTTATTCTCGCCTTTTCTCTCACACCTCTACTTCATCTCTTTTGTCGCCTCTCTCTCTTTCAGGGGAGAGTGTGTCTGCCATTACACAACACACTTTCTGTAGTTGAGCTGAAGTCAAGAGGGGAAGACATTTTTCTGCAGTATTAACATGGGATGGATTTAGATTGATGGCTACTAGTGTGTGTGTTGGATGCATACTTTCAATTTCCCTCATATTAGAATACAATAAAGATGATGTTTTTTGTGTCTATCTCTCCTCCTCAAATCCCTTTTCTCCGCCGCTCCTTTATTATCCACCCATTTTTCCTCCCTCTTTCAATGTGTCCCCTCAGATATCAGCCTATTCCATGAACCGTATCATAAATAGAGCCCCACTGACATTTCAATTTGCCCCATAACCCTTCATATATTTACACACACACATATACACACCAAGTTCATTGTTGAGCATCAGTTCAATGGCAGGCCTCTCCTGGGTTTCCACGGAGACAAGGAAAAGCAATAACTGCACACTTGACCCCTCTGCTCTTTTATTGGCCTCTTCTCCCCTTCTCCCCTTCACACACACACACACACACACACACACACACACACACACAGACACATACACACACTAATACGCACTCACACACCTCAAATCTAATCTGGGAGAGTGAGCCTCCATGGCGATATTCCTCCATCTTCCCCCGAGGATTGGAGAAGAGAGGTAGAGGAAAAGGGGAGAAGAGCAAGGAGAAGGGGAAGTTAATAATTTCATCTGGCAGTGACCCGGAGACGATAAGATCGATTGTTTGGCTCTTGTAGTCTCCTCATATCACACTCACACACACAAACACACACATCTCCACACATCACGTTTTCCCATCCTCGCCCTCTCTCTCGGAAAGAGTCCTGTCTGTCGCACATGTTCAGCAAAAGTCGAACAACTTGCTGAAACTTTATGATTTTGATTTTGAGGGATGATGAGAGGAACTGTGGGCAAGAGGGAAAAAAGTGACTGAGAGAAACAAGGAGAAAAACATTGGGCCAGAGAGAGAGAGGAAAGAGAGATTGAAGGAAAATATTAGGAGGAACGACAGGCTAGCCTTAGCGACAAGGCTGTTTACTGTTTATTTTGGTCTCCAGTCTCATTTCTCTTCATATTGGCAGAGTAGAGATGATTTCCTCTCGCTGTTTATTCCTCTGTGGATTTCTTGTGTTGTGTGGTTATTTGTGTAAAAGTTTGTGTGTGTGTGTGTCCTCTGTTTGCCTCGTCTAAGATTGTCTATCTGAACTCAATCTTTCCGCAATCATGGGTTGTTATGGTGTCTTCGCGTAACGTCGAGGTCCCAGTGTGGGATCTCCTTTTTTCCTTTCCATACCTACGCAAACAGGTCCTGAGCAGATCGGGTACTTGAACTATCTTCAGGAGTTAGAGCAAAATGTAGAGTGCCTAATGAATGAATGATGCATTTTTCTCTCAGTTCTCCTGATTGTGGCTTGAACCAATCCCGGTGTCAGTATCAACTCTTCAAGCTAGACTTACGCTTATCTCTAACACACACAGCCAAAGAGTGTATTTAAACAGCCATGAAAATATTCGGTGGCATTTATTTTCATGTTTTACAAGCCAGATTCCCCCCTTGTGCCCTTCTTTGTGCAAACAGAAAGATGATGCTTTAAAATCTGAAATCTGATCCGTTTGTGTGTGTGTGGAGTGTATGAGTGTGTGTATTTGGCATTATTACAATCCATCCTGAGTGACCACACTCAACAGCTAAAGCTAGGTCTCCACAGTACATGAGAACAATAAGAGCTTACACATGATGATTTCTGCCTCTCAGTAATCAGGTCAGGGTCGATTGGATTGTTTCTTGTATGTGGAGTGTTTGTGTGTGTGTGTGCATGCTTGTGTGGAAGGCAGCACACAGCGTTGCTTCCCTGCAGTGTTGCCTTCTGTAACTCAGGTGTGTGTTTTTGTGCAAGACTCTGTGTATTTGTGTACACAACACTCTTCTGTACCACCCATATTACATTATTATACTACATGTTTTTATGCTCTAAACTGAGGTATTTTTTCCAGCATCTTTTTGTATTGTAAATTCAAAATTATGTAAGTTATAAATATATTTATGTATACAAACCCCTCTTGGAAATGAGATCTAATCTCTCAGGGATTTACCTGAATAAATAAAAGTTATATTTAGACTATGCATCCAATCTATGGTCCTTTTCCGTGCAAATATGCTCTATGAGCTACATATGACAAGTCCCTTGTGTAAACTCACTCCCACTCTTGTTTTCTTCTTGTGTTTGTTCCCTGCAGTTCTCCAAGGAGAAGTACCTGCTGGAGTCTCCTCCTGAGAAACTTCGTAAGGAGCTGGAGGAGGAGCTGAAACTGAGCGCTGCTGACATCAGGAGCCATGGCTGGTACCATGGACACATACCCAGAGAGGTAAACACACACTGTGAAGCGCAATGTAGAATCTGTATACACGCACAGTAGAGTACTATACATCCAAATTGTCCTGAATGGATGTTTGAGAAGAGACACACACATACTTTCCAAGGCAATAAACCGTTGCCTGGACACAATATGTCCCACAGTATAAATATATACAGTAGTACACACACACATGCATGCAGCCCTTTGGTGCCATGTATATTTACAGCTGAAACTGTTAGTGGAATAATTGACCAGTTGACCGAATTAATCAGGAACTATTTGGATAATTGGTTGTAAATTATTATGTAATTGTAAATTGAATATCTTTGGGGTTTTGGACAGAATTAGCAATTTAAAGATGTCACTTCGGGCTCTAGGCAGCTGTGATGGGCATTTTCTGTGAACAATTAATCGATTAATCAAAAATTAGAATGATCCTTATTTGCAGCATTGCAGCACTAGTTTTACCCAGTGTTTTAATTAAATCAAATAAGGTCTATTGTTTTTCAGCTAACATACAGAAGTTTCATACTTAAAAAAACGTGTTTTATCAAGAGTCAGTGATCAGTTTTTCAGAACTTTAGAAACCCACTAAGATACTAATAAAAAACATTAAAGTTTAACTTCATGTCACAGTCTATCTGTCCCTGTGCCAGTAAAAGAAAGTATGAACAAATAAAATACATTTTGAAAAAGATGTATTGCTGCTTTGGTTTGTATTTCAATGCCCCTCCTTTCATTATATGTTTTAAAAAGCCAGAATTAAATGACATAAAAGTACAAACATAATAGTATTTCTGTGTGGGTTGATGTGGTTGTCAACCAATAGTATTAGTTGACTGATTACTTGGCCAAAGTCTCTTGGCTTTGAAAACACAGTTTAAATGCTTTACACACAGAATGACACTGATTACTGAATCCCATCATCTGTCACAGCTCAGTAGAAATTGCTTTAGCGTTCAGAAGGAGGGGAAACTCTGCCAGACAGACAGCTGTGCGTGTGTTGCAGATGTACGCAATTGCATTTCACAGCTGGTGACTAAGACACAGATACAAAGAGACGCACAACAACAGACCTGCACCCACACACACACACGCTGCATTCACATGTGGAGGGTCGTCATTCATAAACACATATTCTGTCTCTTGATCAACCTCTGTCTCTGACACACACACACACGCACATAAACACATTCAAATCAGCCATCTGTGACTCTTTCCTTTTAATTTACATAAAATATTCATGTATTCATGCATTTGCCCCAGTGTAAACTTGGGGAAACCCTGAGCCCCCCTGGTTACCAAAACAATACTTAGTGACTAGATTTCAGCATGTACTGTAGATTAGCTTTATTAAATCCTATCCTTCCTTCCTGCTTATTCCTTCTGTTCTGTTCAATTCTGGCATATGCACAAGTCATGAGTTTATGGACCAATGACGCTTTCCTTTAAGTCATAATATATCATATATATTTAGCACCAGACAGTGTAAAACATGATCTATTCTTAAATGTAGTGAGGGAGCAATAAGAAAATCCTGCACTTGGTTTGAGCTTTTGATCTGTGTATATACTGCCTCCTGCTGGTGTGGAAGTATCATTTACCTTGTACTGTGCTGTGTTGCATTGTTTACTGTCTTAAGTGAATTTAAATTATGCATCTCTTTTACTACATGGCTATGGGATCAATACTTGTGATTTCTTCTAACAAAATCCAGGGACACATCTGCAGTGTTTGGTATCAGCAAGATGTATAGCCGGAAGCTGTTCCATTGACCGTGAATGGGAAGATTGCTTTTCTTGGTTGCTTGTTTTGTCAATAAATTCAAAATAACTCTCATTTTTATAATAGCGCTGAACTGAATGAAATTTGTCCTCAGAAAGTCATTCGGGCCATTGTCACTGGCATTTTATCCATCAATGCCAATTCAAACTGTGCATAACACAGACAGTTTGGCAGTGCGAGAAATAGTTGTGACTAACTGTCCTAAGGCATTGTTATAAAATAATAATAATTCTCTAAATTCAATTATTCAACAGTCAAAGTGTCAGAAACAAAATATTCACACACATGCTGTAGTTCAGTGAGCCAAGTTGGCCTACAGCTCTTTAGGATTGGAGCCTTTTGTCTTGTTTGACTAATTTAAATCCATATGCATTTTCTTGTCTCCGACTAGGTGTCAGAGACTCTGGTTGTACGTAATGGCGATTTTCTCGTTCGTGACTCTCTGACCAGTGTGGGTGACTACGTGCTGACCTGTCGATGGGATAATGAGGTGTTGCACTTCAAGATCAATAAAGTCCTGGTCAAATCCAATGAGACCAAGGTACATACTAAAGCTTTTACCAACTATTTTTTTTTATATGCTTATATGTGATGCCCTTTAGCTTCTTGTTAAATTTGCTCTCATATGTTATTATGCGATGATTGTAACTTTTAAATCTTGTCACTCAGTCCTTTTCTGGGTAGGAGCAGGAAGTATAGGTGTAACTAATATACTATTAAAATGAAGTGAGTTAGTGAAGAGTGCTTTGGCAGTGAGTCAGCATGTAACAGCCCTGATATTAGAACATCTAAGCTAATTATAACAGATATGCAAAGATGTCAAATTAAATTCTGTCTCTTCATCCTCAGGTGCAATATATGCTGGAGTCTGACAGTTTCGACTCGGTCCAGGAGCTTGTGCGGTTCTACGTGGGCCAGCGAAAATCGGTCTCGCAGTCCAGCGGTGTCCACATCTACTGTCCAGTCAGCAGGACTCTCCCTCTGCGCTACCTGGAGGCCACCTTCGCTCTGGCAAACAGCAAGCAAGGCTCCGCCTACTCACCGTCCAGTCAGAGGGGAGCATACATCAAGAGGAGGAGTGTCACCATGACTGATGGGCTGACGACTGAGAAGATGATACCTCACAGGTGAGCTGGGAGGAAGAGGAGTAGAGTGAGCAGCCAATAATAAAACCGTGACAGTTCTTTTTTTGCAGTCTTCATCATATTGTTTCATTCTTGCTTTGTGTTGTAAACATGATCAGTGACTCAGACAGTCCCAGCCCAGTTAAGACGCCAGTGGCAACACCAGAACCAGAGCCGGAACCTGTGCTCAACTGCAGGTTGTGTGTGTTTGTGTGTGACAACTAATGTTGTGTTTGAGCACTGAACTAATGCACTTACCTCCCACGTTCCTGCAACCTCCTCACTTCACACCATTAGCACACCCCTAGTCAGGAGCCTCTTAGTGTCCTTAGAGGGAAGTTGCAAAATGACTTGTTCACTTGGCCACTTCTGCACTGGATCACTCAAGTTTCAAGCGGAACAAGGCTGTTTGAAACTTGAATCTACAAAGGAGGAGCAGACAAAAATGTTGTGTACAGTGGATATAAATGTTAGCCTCATTGGGACTATGGACAGGAGTTCAGCCAGCTTTTAAAGCATGGGACAAAACCAATGCCAGTGACGCACTGGGCTTTACATTTTTTATTTTATTTGGACATTATTGTTGAAAACATTTCCCAGTGTTAATGCACTAAAAGTAGTGATTATATACCTTAAACATTAGGTATTTATTTTTCGCATTGTACCACATTCTCTGCTCCTGCTTTAAAGTCTTTAACATGGTTTTAATTGATAAATAACACAACAGTGTGTGTGTTATAAAGTAGAGGAATTGTCCTCAAGGTTGCACCAACTAAAACAATCCCCTCTTCTCTCACACTAAAAATAATTAGCATTTGCGTCTGTAACAACACCATTTGTGTGCTCTGAAACTGCTATACAGTGTGTGACATCCTGAAGTTCACTGCTTCGTGAGGTTCCCTTCTGTACTTTGACAGCTTTTAAATCCATACACAAAGATTTTGAACATCTTAAAAATGCTGTCTTTACAGCCCGTCCACAATCCACCACCACAAAGACGCAATGCGGAACTGTGCGATGAGTATGGACCAGATACAGGAGTATCGCTGCCCCTTGTCACCTGTTGGGGAGACCCCACTGTCTCCTGCATATAGTGCTAGTAAGTGCCAGAGACACAAAGACGCAGACACACTAATAAATGTTCTCCGTCACACATTCAAAAAAACAATCCCCATTACAGATTGTAAGACTCTTCTGTCTTTCTTCAGTCACCAGGCAGAGAGCCCACTCAAGCGGGCGGGTCCTGGCCATTGTCCCACCTTCCCCGGCAATGCGTCGTTCCAGCGACCCTCAGCTCAGCCCTTCAGCCAGTAACAACCCTCCAGAGCATCCCGCACATACCTCTCACTCGGCACACTCCTCGCCCGCCCATCATGCCAGCTACCAATCACATTCATCAGAAACAGCAGGGAGCTACTGTGACCTCAGACCTTGCCCCGCTGGGCCCCCTAAACCCCCGACTAAGAGCTACGTGGAGCGATTGCGAGTCGAAGAAGGGAGGCAGGACGGAGTGAGGGAGGAAGGAGAGGGGATGTTCAGCGCCCCACAGGTGGAGACGACGTCCTCGTTCAGGCCATCCAGGTACCTGACACATACAAACACACACAGAATTAAGCTTCCAAAATTGCACTTGTGTTTACAAAGGATACTTAGCCTGTCTTTGGACTTCTTTGGAGTACTTTATGAAAGGGACTAACGACACAGCATTTGGAGTTTAGTCCAGAGTTTAGTGTCCTATAACTATTTACCTCTTTAGGAAAATTACTTACTACTTACAAAGAAATTTAGAAGCTAATTCAGGGGTACGTACATGCATTGAGGGCTAAGAGGGGATTTCTTTTCTTCTTTTTTAATGCATTATTGGTGGTGCTGGAGTTAACAAAGACCTAGTATACAAATGTTGTTAGATAGTTTACATGTCTTCAACCCTTCTTGTTGTATTCATCTCTTTGAGTGAAAAATAACATAGCATGTGGAAAATCTGGATTACAGTGATCAAGTTTCATTGTGATTTGCTAAGGATAAACATACATTTAAGCAATTGTAAGCCCACAGGAAGAAGAATAGCTACAGAAATAGGTACAAAAACATTTGTCTTTCCTTGGCTGGACTTTCAGCTGAGTCAGATTGGTGAGCTCAGTAAAAAATTAAAAGACTTCCACTGATTTGTTGACCTAGAAGACTGCTGTTTCATGAAGCACTTTAAAAGTCAAAGTTAGAGCCCATCACTACAGCAGGATTAATGTAAGGCAGGTTTAACAAGGAGTGTAGAGCCTCAAGTCTTGCCAGAAGCCAACTTGTAGCAAATACATGAGTGTAGCTGACTGTTGCTCAGCTTTAACTACACTGAAGCATATTCTCTCAGGATGTAAAGTGAGTGTGTTCAAAGGTCAATTCACCTGCTGACATTTTCTCATAGAGGGCAAAAATATGGGAGCGAGCCACTTCCATGCAGCTTTGAGTGAGCGGAGACTGGAAAATAGACTTGAGCAAACAGCTGATAATCCTGTGGGAAATAGCCCGAGGGCAGACTTTGTGCTGAGTCAGAGACAGAGTAGATACTGTATTTTATTGGGGTTACAGTACCATGGGAGGACCCAGCCGATGAGGCTTGTAAAAGGAAAATGGTCAGGTACACGGAGTTGGCAGCAGCGATGGAGCTGGCAGCAGCTTTGGACATCTCAGCATCCCCTGTGTAATTTTGGTGCAGGGGGATTATTGTCGGTTTTAACACTACTCTGGAAATTGACATTTTAGGCAGTAAGGGCTACTTTTGTTTGAGGCACTTGTGTGAGCCAGTGACTGGATGCTTGAAGAGAAAGCAGCATGATCAGGACATTAGGACAAAGCATAAATCTGAAAACATTGGTAAATCCCAGAAACCAATGCGTACTAAATTGTAGTACTAGGCTCTCAACTTATATATTATATTACTAGTTTTATATTGTTCATGTCATTCATATAGGCTCACATTACAAATACACAAACAAATTCAAATTAGGTAATTCAACAAATACTCCTAAGTATTCTAGTATCCTAATCACTTTTTAGGAGTTGTGCGACTAATTCAACATCTGAATTAGCAGATTCAGCGTACATGTCTTCAGATTACTACCACTAACACACTCTTAGTGTTAGGTAATTTAGGAACAGTTTCATGGTTAAATAGTTCACCGGAGAGCAATGCACTCAGAACATACCATGGTCACAATTCGTTAACAACAAGCAATTAGGCATCCTTACCAAAAAGTTGGTTGGGCCATATTGCTGCATGGTCAAGTTAAAATCATAAACTGCGCACCTTCTTCAACCCAACAACTGGACCGCTGGATGAGCCTAAAACATTCAGTCACTTATTTATCTTTACGACACTCCTTGCTGTCCTTGGAGGTGATCATGTCCTGTCCTCGTTCTAATTTTCTAATACGGTGTAATCGCTTATGTGCAGGTACGAGTCTTGCCTTATGCCAACTGAGAACAAGCCTCTGGAGATGTCGGTTCTGAAGAAAGTCAAAGAGCTGCTGGCTGAGGTGGATGCAAGGACCGCGGCTAAACACATCACCATGGTGGACTGCATGGTACAAACACACACACACACA